TAGTCCAACTCCTGGCCCTGCACAGGACATCCTCAATAATAACACTGTGTGCCTGAGAGCATTGTCCATATGTCTCTTAAACTCTGTCAGGCTTGGTGCTGTGGCAACTTCTCTGGGGAGCTGTTCCAGTGCCCAACCACCCTCTGGGTGAAGAACCATTTTCTAATATCCAGCCTAAACCTCCCAATGCAACTTCAGACCATTCCCTCAGGTCGTGTCACTGGCTGCCAGAGAGAAGAGGTCAATGCCTGTCCCTTCACTTCCTTTCATGAGGAAGTTACATTGAGTGATGAGGTCTCTCCTCAGTCTCATCTTCCCCAGGCTGAACAGACCAAGTGACCTCAGACACTCCTGATATGGCTTCCCCTCAAGGCTCTTCACCATCTTCATTGCTCTCCTTTGGATGCTCTCTAATAACTTATTATCTTTCTTATACTGTGGTGCCCAAAACTGCACACAATTCTCAAGGTGAGGCCCAGACCAGTGCAGAGCAGAGCAGGACAATCACCTCTCTCGAGGTCTCCCAGGTCCCTTTCCAGGGCACTACTTTGTAGCATCTCATTCCCCAGTCTGTACATACATCCAGGATTGCCTCAGGTGCAGAATCTGGCACTTGCCCTGGTTAAATTTCATATCGTTGGTGATTGCCCAAACCTCTAATTTGTCTAGGTCTCTCTGCAAGGCATCTCTGCCTTCAAGGGAGTCAGCAGCTGCTCCCAATTTTGTATCATCTGCAAATTTACTTAATAGTCCTTCAAGTCCTGTGTCCAAGTCATTTATGAAGACACTGAAGAGCACCGGGCCTAGAATGATGCACTGTGGAACCAGTCACCAGCCTGATGTAATCCCATTCATCACAGCCCTTTGCATCCAACCCATGAGTCAGCTGCTCACCCATCACGTAGTGTGTTTGTCTGGAAGCATCTTGTGAGAGGCACTACTGAAAGCTTTACTGAAATCTTAAAAAGATCACATCAACTGGCTTCCCCTGATCAACTAGGTGGGTTACCTTGTCATAAAAGGAAGTAAGGTTTGACAAGCAGGGCCATGCTGGCCGCGCCCAATGACTGTGTTGTCCTTCAGATGTTTTTCAATACCTCCCATGATAAACTTTTCCATGATTTTACCAGGTACAGAAGTGAGGCTAACAGGCCTGTAGTGACCGGGTTCATACTTCCTACCTTTTGTGAAGAGACAACATTAGCCAGCTTCCAGCCAAGTAGGGCCTCTCCAGATTCCCAAGACCATTGAAAAAAATCATCGAGAGAGGCCTTGCAATGACATCAGCCAACTCCTTAAGCATTCTCGGATGCATCCCATCAGGGCCCATAGATTTGTATGGATCCAGCTGGATCAGCAGATCCCTCACAGCATCAGTCAAGTGGGAGTATAATGTTCTCCCAGTTGTCCTCCAGCTCAGAGCACTGGGACCCCCTTGGCCCTCCATCAGTGTTGAAGACAGAAGCAAAGAAGTAATTAAACACCTCTGCCTTGTCTACATCCCTGTTTATAAGGTGACCTTCCTCATCCTGTAATGGGCCAATGTCACCTCCACACTGCCTTTTACTATTAATGTACTTAAATTCTTGTTATTGTATCCCACGGTATTGGCTTCAGCTGCAACTGAGGTTTTGCCACACGAATTTTCTCCCTGCAGTGACGAGCTGCATCTCTGTATTCTTCCCACATCTCCAGACCATGCTTCCACTGGCTATACAACATGCTTTTATGTCTCGCCTCCAAACGAAGATTCCTAGTCAGCCAAGCTGGCCTTCTGCCTCATCTGCTGGACTTCTGACATTTAAGAATTGCCTGTTCCTGTGCCCTTGGGAGGCGGTGCTTAAAAAGTTACCAGCACTAATGGACCCTAGCACCTGCAAAATTGTTTTCCCAGGGCACCTTACCCACCAGTTCCCTAAACAGCCCAAAGTCTGCTCTCCTCATGTCCAGGGTTGAAGTGGCAGTTTTGCTGGCACTTTTCCTCCTGTCAACAGAGATGTTAAACTTGATTGCTTTGCAGTTGCTATGGACGAGCTTGCCGCTGATCACTACACTTCACCCACAAGGCTCTCTCTATTAACAAACAACAAATCCAGGAGGGCATCATTTCTAGACAGTTCCCTTAGTACCTGCATCATGAAGTTGTCATACAGGTTTTTCAGGAACTTTGTTGACCTCTTTGTGTCAGCTGTATGGTATTTCCAGTTAACATCTGGCAAGTTCAAGTCTCCCACAAGGACAAGAGACACTGAGTTGGAGGCATAACCCAGTTCCTCAAAGAATAATTCATCAGTCTTGTAATCTTGGTTGGGTGGTCTATAGTAGACTCCCACAATGATATCTGTGTCATTTGTTTGTCCCTTGATCCTTACCCAGAGGAGATCATCAGGCTCACCTGGAAGCAGAAGGCAGTTACGCCTACCCAAACTGCAACAGGCTATCCCATGGCATTCCTACAAACCACACCCCAAGAACATTTCCTAATTTTTTATAATCTACCAGTAGGTAAACAACCTCCACTAATTCCCAATGTGATAGTGAACATCCAAATTCTCTTTCCTTCATGCTGGAGGTTAGAGAGGGAAGGCTGTGAAGCCTCAGTGAACTTAATTCTTAAAGATAAATAAATAACTCAAAAAATCCAGGCTCTCTCCAGCAGCAGAGAAATGCCACTGACTGGAGCAGTGCAGGAGTGAAGCACCACCCTGCAGATGGTCACTTGCCCCCTAACCTTGGGCCCCCTCACAAGCTGGAGGCAATCACAGTGCCAGACTGCATCTCACTCCACACAGCCATTGATGCAATGGCTTCTTCCACCTGGAAAGGTGATGCAATTCTTGCAGAGAATTGTTCATTTCTCCAGAGATGTTTGTTGTTAGACACTTCCACATGGACAAATTAGCTGCAGCTCATTACCCTGCTCTCTCCTCTGCTGAGCTAATTGCTACATCCTGAACTTCAAGTGCCACGGGAGCCGTCTATAAAATACACCCTCACACTGCTCTTTTATGTACCCCACGAGACCAGGCTGCAGAGTTAGACTGCACTTGCAGGGAATAACACTTTAATCATTTGTAACATATTCAAAAATAAACTATTTTGTTTTCCTATCAACATCAAAAGCTACACAATACAGCAGAAATCTTCTACACTTACGGCCTTAAGGGAGGAGTGGAAAGAGAAATACAGAAGTTCAGAAAAACACTTCTGATGCAAACCAAAATACTGAAAATCATTCAGGTCAAAGAGGTTTCCAGCTGCAATGTTTTTAACTATGCAGCCACCTAAGAAGTTCCTCTTGAAGTAGTCAAAGGGATTGCTTGGAGCTGGGCTATCTTTCTGAGGTTTTCCTCCATAAATGCTAAAAGTTGCACTAGTGATCCATGCAGAAGGAAAACTTCATGAGACACCTCATCCTCTTCTTTCTGTGAATGTCCCTTAAAAGTGAGAAATTTATGCCTGTGTTTAGCAAACAAAACCAGTCTGTGCTAAAACAACCTGCACCCAATTTGATTGCTGCCCATCATCCTGGAAACACAGGAGCAGTTATAAGGATCCTGCTTCCCATCAACACGTTACTCCAGGGCACTGTAAGCTAAAACCTCGCCCAGCCCCACAGCTAAGGAAAGCACAACGGAAAGGACAGCAACATAAGGAGTAAACCTGCGGTCAAGTGTGCCACCAAGAGGCAAAAGCAGCAAACTGAGCAAGGAGGAAGAACAAAGCGCAGCAGCTGTGTGTAAAATATCCAGGAAATCCTGGAGCAAGGTGCAGTGTGGGGGGGCTGCCCCACTGCTCCCTCCTCCTCTGACCTCTGGGTTGTAGCTCTGCACAGTCTGATGTGGAGTATGTGAGAGGATTCACTGCTGGGGGCGTTAAATTCAGATCTGACCACAGTGGGTGTTACCACACAGTCTCTTGGGGGGACTAAAGCGACCCTGTGCTCTGAGCAGTGTCAAACTGGACAATGGTCTCAGGTAAAGGACAAGGCTCTCAGGCACATGGTGAGATTCTTGGGATTGTCCTGTGCAGGGTCAGGAGTTGAACTCAATGACTCTTGTGGGACCCTTCCAACTCAGGACATTCTGTGATTCTGTGATTTCTTGGAGTCTAACCAGAGTGAGCGAAACAGAAGTGGAATGAGCTCTTCACTTCTCTCTGGTAACACACAGAGAGTGGCAAAAAGGGAGTTCCCACTACCCTTCCATTTTTCCCATTTTTTGCATTCAAAATGTCAGATACTGATTTTTTTTCCTCTAAGTTGCAGCAGCAGCCAGGACTCACAGTTTATACCAGAAGAAAACCCTTCCTTTCTATTCATATCTATTTAAAAGGAAGACTTTGCAAATGCTCTGACATTTAGGGAGAACTGAGTGGCAAAACACTGGTAACAATTCATTCTTTTTCTCTTCCATCTCAGAAATAAAGGCATCAACAGTAACTCCAAGGATTTCCTGAGGGTACCCTGTGCCCTCTGCTGCCACCCCCAGCATAGCTTCAGCCCTTGCTCTCATTCCTACAGCTGTAAAAACATGGAAATATTTGTAGATACTCTCCTATTTTATCTAAAGAGTATATCTTACAGCTTTTATGAGTATTAAGCTATTTCTGTGGGCCAGTGATCATCTGACAGCTCAGCAGATTAAGTATTTTCCTCACCTCACACTAAATACTGCATTTATTAGGCCAAGCCAGAACATGGGGACTTGAAACAACATTTATCCAGAGGTAGAATGCTCTGGCAGCATCTCTTGGTTATAGTGGTATGATAACCTTCTGTTTCAGTCCTCCCTTCAGACCGCTCTGCACCAGCTCAGGAGAGCTGGGATGACCCTTCTAAACACCCCCTGAGGGACTCATCTTGAAGGAGAAAAGTCTGGAGGGGACAACATTCATCCCAATTTTGTTTTGAGGACAATTTTGCAAGTAATGGCACAGGGCATTCAAGAGGGCATGCTGAGAGCAGCAATGTATTAATTTTCATCAAGTAAAGCTTGTACCTGGTCTTCACTTGTCAGGCCAAGTCGCATCACGAAATAAAAATGGACCAGGAAGTCAGAATTGGGCAGCACGTCCTGACGTCGCGTCATCATGGCACAGATCAACCGGAATGCCTGCAGCTTCCCCTCCTTGTACTCGCTCGGCAGCGTGGCTGCCTGCAAACAGAGACACCTGGGATCATCACTGCTTTCCCCTAGCAGCCAGCTAACTCCAAGCTGCATCTTCAGCAGATCTTCTGTAAAGCAAATCTGTTCTGTGTATTCATTAACATATATTCAGGTCCAAAGAGCCTTTGGAGGGTGTTTGCTGTCTTAGCCAGCAGTGACTGCAAAGAGTAATGATAATGGAACTAAACACACACTAATTCAGCTCTGATATAGAAGAAAATACTCATGTGTGAGAATTTTCAACTAATTTACCTTGAACAGCCATGATGCAAATATCCTGAGAGGAGGGATTAGGATGGGAGGAGAGGGAGTTGACTGATTGTCCACACTGATAGCAAGGTTGTCCCGGATCTAAGGGTTTTAAAAGAAGTGTTAAGAATACTGATAGTTTACCTTTCAACTAACTTTATTTTGCATTATTAAATGTTACTTTATTTACTCTCAGGCACTACACTCTCTTCAGAATTCCTACTTCAGCCAAAGCCGTCAGGAAAGCTTGTTCCACAGTTCTGCTCCCTGGCCAAAGCAAATGTCACCAGTTTGGGTTAGACCTTGGACCTTTACACCAAATACCAATGT